GTGTTAATCTTATTGAATTATTATATTTTGTTCATTTTTTATGGAAAAAAATGGACAGGATGAATTGCTGTGGGGAGCAGCATGGCTGAGGAGGGCTACACAGAACAATTCTTACCTCGTCTACTTGCAAGACAATGGTAAAACGCTAGGCGCCGAAGACAACATTAACGAATTCGGATGGGACAACAAGCATGCGGGACTTAACGTGCTTGTTTCAAAGGTTACGATCCATCAACATAAGCAACATATTTATATAAGGCAAAAATGCATTTTTAGTCCTGTTACTTTTAACACCTTAGCATTTTCAGTCTCAAAGTTCTAACTTTTTGCCTTTTTGGTCCTATAATTTAATATTTTGTTACAATTTTTAAGTTTCCAAAGGACTGAAACTGCAACAAAATTTTAAACAACAGGACTGAAATCGCAACAAAGTTTTCAATTACATGACTCAAATTGCTAATAAAAATCTATAAATTTGGGAATTAGTTGCAATTTCATCCCTAAAGGACTGAAATCGCAGCAAAAATGTTATGGCGTTAAACCAGTATCTAAAAATGCAATTTAGCCTTTATATATAATAACCATAACTTTGAATTTTGAATTTTTTTCGACATTTATTGCAGGAGGTCCTGGAGAACAACATGTACTCCCTCGAGTCATACAGAGCATCGGCCGACAGCTTCATGTGCACACTCATACCCGAGTCCACGTCATCCCACGTGCAGTACTCTCCCGGCGGCCTCATTTACCGGCCAGGTGGCAGCAATTTACAGCACGCCACCACCATTTCATTTTTACTACTCGCCTACGCAAATTACTTGGAAAAATCATTCCAAAGCGTCAACTGCGGAGAAATGTTAGTTAGCCCCTCGAAGCTGAGGACGATAGCCCAAAGGCAGGCGAATTACATTCTGGGCGAAAATCCCAAGGGAATGTCGTATTTGGTCGGGTATAGTGACGTGTACCCTAAGAGGATTCATCATCGTGGATCGTCAATACCTTCGATAAAGGATCATCCGGGTTTTGTAGGGTGCAAAGATGGGGTCGTTTATTTCAACTCGTCGGGACCTAACCCGAATGTTCTGGTTGGGGCAGTGGTGGGTGGGCCCGGAGAGGATGATGAGTACGAGGATAGTAGGGAGGATTTTAGGAAATCCGAGCCTGCTACTTATATTAATGCGCCGTTTGTAGGCGTGCTTGGGTATTTTGTGGCTAATCCAAGTGTAGGTAATCCTTAGAGGATTGATAAGGGAATTATTCTACAACTGTAAATAAGAAGTGTTATAGGGGATTTTGGATTGGATTGGATTGGATTAGTGAGTATCAAAGTCTCTCGTCTTGCAACAAAAAGGCAAGGAGGCAGAGGATAATATATAGGTTGGTTGCAATACCTCATTGGGCCATCTCGTTGGAATTACTTTAAAACATATGCTACTTTAACTTGCATTACAAGCATGTGTGAGTCTTCAATCTTCATTATAAGTCAAAATTTTGAGATGATGAAAATTTCTGTCAATTTCAAGTTTTTCTTTCTCTTTTTCTTTTTGAGAAAAAATTATTGCTGGTGAGTTGCACTTCCGTTGTTTTGTTTGAAGTTCCCTGTAACATAGTTTGCAGTGAGTGGTCTAAACATGGTTGTTAGCATTTAAAATATACAAATATATCCAGAGAATTTCGTATTTTTATGTGGTATACTATTCCTTTCCGAAAGACTTGTAAATTTTTTTTTTCTCTATATCAGATGATAGAACGATTAAATTATGTTGGTGAGTGAATATCGATGAATTTAAAATTAATATTATTATTAATCTTGTACTTTTATTTTAATGATATATAATATTTTAAAATATACCTTATATGCATACTTCATTCGTTTTAAAATAAGTATCTTTCTAAATTATATAACTCAAAATTATTTAGTAATACTCCTGTTGATATTCGAGATGGATCATGAGAAATCCAAAGATGAAAAGTGCCAACAAGGCATCCGATAGGATAACCACCGAGCAAATTAAGTTAAGAAGTCCGGACAGTGGCGGCCTAGACATAAGATCGGTATATGGTACTACAAAAAAATTGTTATATTCCAACGAAAAATCTTATGACAATATATTCCAATAGAAATTCCAACGGATATTTCAATGGTATAGTTTCCGTTAGAATTATTTCAACGAAAATACCAACAAAAATATTTCGTTGTAATGTATTTTTCATCGGAATTTTAGATGGAATTTGATGATTCCAACGACTTTTGACCGTAAGCATTTCCGTTGGAATACGCAATTTTCGTTGGAATTTTTATTTCCACCACTGTTAGAAAATCTACTGTTAGAATAGTAAAAAATTCAACGGAAATTCTAATGGAAAACCCATTCCAATGGAATATTTTTGCTGGAATTTCCGTTGAAAAAATTTCAACGGAAATAATAGTATTGAAATAGCCATTGGAATTGGACGAAGTCGACCTTCATATGTGCATAACACAAAAATGAGACCCATAAGATCTGAATATGAAGACAATAAAGTTGTGGAGAAAATCCGATCTAGCGAACCATGAAGATCGGACCCTGGTGCGCAGTTGGAACCCTGAAACAATAAAATATTGCCACTTGTCAAGTGATGACTGCCGATGGGACGCATCAACATAGTCTGCAGCCCTATTGAACATAGGATTGTAGGACGATCTGTCAGCATTAAATGTATCCCCATGTGTGCATTAATGTCTGGCAGACAATTAGTTAAATCTCATTTAATGCCCGCAAGAATGGTACTAAACTGTCATTCTTAGTTACTGTACAAAGTGACGGGATGAACAATATCCGACTTGTAATAGTATAAATAGGCACCACCCTCACTTAATGAGGGTTGTTTGAAAAAATCTACCAACTCTCTCTCTCTCTCTCTCTCTCTCTCCCTCACTCTCTCTATCTACATTTATTCTCTCTACCTTGTAATAATATGCTGTAATAACCAATAATGAAATATAGCTTATTTCTTCGCCATTTTCTTTCTAAGAATTCAGTACCATAATTTTAATTCATTAATGTTAAAGTTGAAAATTTTGTTAATATTTTAAAACCTAAAATTTAGTTTGTAAAAAATATCAAGTCTCTAAAATGACACTAGTTTTAAATTGATGTTAATGAACTAATACATTATTTTAAATCCTCTCTCGCCCTTGAGTTCAACCTCTCGCCCCTTTTTTCTCTCTTGCTCGCCGTTTGCAAATTGCTGGTTTGTGCCTCTTTCAAAGGTCGTTCAGGTTAGCCGGAGGATGGCTCTCCTGCAGAGCATCCTTAATAAGGTCAGCGACGCTCCCGTTCTGCGATTCCAACCAAAAGGGTGGGCTAGGGTTTTGGCAAGTCTTCTTTTCTATGCGAGGCCGCCGGCGTCCTTCGGGGGGTGCGTCGTCAACCTTTGGATGCGGCTTGGTTGCTCGTTCCAACTCAGGTATGGTCGATTTCTTTTTTCCTGGCCTTGAAGTCTGCCTCGTTTCGATTTTCCTGTTTCGCCGGACCTCTCGTTTCGGTACTATGGGGTAGTTGTGGCAGGGTTTGATTTTGTGCGTTGGATTGGGAGATTATCGATTGTTGGGTTGTGTTGTTGTGACTGGGCCGGGATGCCATTCGAGCCCTTCCTCATTTTTGCTCTTTTTGATCAAGAGGGAGGCCGACCGTTTCGAATATTGGCTAGTGGTGATAGGCAATTTCGAGATGGTATCGGATCTGGCTAGGGGTGTTAGCCGATGAGGGGGGTCGATTGTGGTTTCTAGCGGTTTGAGAGCGGGTCGATTGTTCTTGGCTTGTTTTGTGGCTTGGGTATTCGTCTTGCTAGGCTTTAGGCAGTGGCAGGCGGAGTGCCTGTGCTGCGGATCTTTTCATGAAATCGACATTGTCTGCGGTTCAATTTCGAACGTATCTGCTGAAGGAGGCTGTGTGTTTTGTTTGTTAGTTAGTGTGTCGTTTAGGTCGTTTCTTTGTATGTTTTTAGTTTGGGCCAGTTGGCCCCTGTAAGCCCCTGTGAGCCCGAGTATCATCTTATTATCCCATTGGGATCAGATGCTTGGGTATTATCCTGGTGGGATCTTTTTAGTTGTTTCTGTTTATTTGTGTAGTTGGTAGTGGTGTTGTTGTGAGTGTTTTTATTCTAGCTTTGCTAGCGGGATTCTACACGGTCTTTTGACTTGTCCTCCCACTTTTTCAGCCGTTGGCTGCTATGTATTCACACATTTGTGCATTTTGATTTATAATATCATCTATCGTTTTGGGAAAAAAAAAACTAAGACATTATTTTTTTTTTTATAAATTTTCTCTTTTTTGATATTAATTTCTTAATGAAATGTTACTATAATATTTGTAATAAATACTTAACTTTATGTGTGTGTGTATGTTTGTGTGTGTCTATATATATATAGACACATAACAAGAACGATTGCTGATTCCCTTACTTATCCTACAGGGTCTGGCTGTTTTGTCTAAAGCATCCGAAATGGATCCTCCTTAATAGGGAAGCCCCTATCTTCAATATACTAGACTAGTTAGATCCCGTATAACATGGTGTTGTGCTCGGCGAACTTTCGTCAAAATCTCAAAATGCGATTGTTTTTTTTAGGCTTAATTGCAATTAAAATCATCACCTTTAAGCTTTTTGCAATTTAAACTCAACCTCAAGGTAATTGCAAACAAATCGCAACCTTTTTTAAATTTGCAACCCGAACCCAAAGTTGATCGGCAGCGAGCTCCTTGCCTACGTGTCCGGCAGGCCGTCTCACGTGTCATCAGGCTTCGCTGACGAGGATTCCACAGTGTCACACACACTTTGGCGGGAAGGGTACAATTGTAACTTCAACCCTTACAAATACAAAATGAGGGTGTATTGCATTTCAGAATCACAAATTAATCTGTAAAATTAGGGCATAACTGTTTCAATTTTCCGCCATTCATCACGATACAAAGACCGTTTCAATTTTTTTCCAGATGTTCTGGTGATTGCCGCGATTCATGAAGAAGAAATTGGCGCCAGTTGGTCGCAACATTCGTGCATCAGCAATGGGAAAAAACAGGTAGATCCAAAATTATTCTTCTGAATCTCATATGTCGGCCCCAAATTTCGTGCTGAAATTTTTGAATTTTAGGATTTGCCCTTGTTGTCCGACAGCAAACAATGCCAGAATAATATTTTTATGTTTGAATTCATGTTAAATTAGGGTTTTTTTCATGATAAATTAGGGATTTGAGTGAAATCTGGTTTCCATGTGAATTCATGATTTTTTTTATTAACATTAGAGTTAATACAAAATGAGGGTTGTATTGCAACTAGGGTTATCAACAAATTAGGGTTTTTTGCATTTTAGGGATTTTTAGTTATTTGAAGTTTTATTTAAACTGAATTTATTTATAAGTTATGTCTATGATATGGGATTGATTATATCCCTATGTTTGATTGCAGTGAAAAATTTTCCCTCTTCTTCAACTATGGTGGTACATTTATCAAGATTGAAGATTCAACTGAATACTATGGTGGGAATTTCAAGTCTGTGTATGGCTTAGACACTGATAGGTTTGGATACTTTGATTTGGTAGAAGAAGTAGAGAAGCTGGGGGTTAAGGAGTTTGATAAAATAATGTATCAAGATCCAGGGAAGCTGGGATATGCTGGTATGAAAGAGATAGTGGATGACAGTGGTGTTATGGAGATGATCAACACTGGCCATAAGCTTAGATCTGTAATACAGGTTTATGTTGCTGCTAGTAACCCTAATAAGGAAGATGGAGATGGTGTTAAAGTAGTTCATAATGCATCTGAAGGGAGTAACTCTGCAAACAGATTGGCAGATGGTGATGGTGATGTGAATGTTGGAGATAATGCAACTGGAGATGAACACCTAGATTCTGATGCAAATATAGATTATGATGATGATGCAAATGATGGAGATAAAGCAGTTGGAGGTGGAGTGCTACCAGATGTGGCTATGTGGTCTGATGAGGATAGTGCTAATGAAGATTATTTCCCAGTGGGTGTTAGCTCATCAGATGATGATCTGACTGATGAGGAACATGCTTCTGATGATGATGAATACCTTGAGGTCAGACAAAATTTGAGGAAATGTAAAAACAAGATGGTTGAAGAAGATGGTGGAGCAAACAATACATTCTCAGATTGTCTGCCTCAAATGAACTTGGATGGGTGTGAAGTGCTACAGCATGCTCTCATGTCTGAGGAGTCAGGCAGTGAAATGGAGATGAATGATGAGGGAAATTGCATTAAAAGGAAGCTGAGGGTTATTTATGATCCTAGGTGTGATCATAATGCTCTTCAGTTTGAGCTTGGTATGAGCTTTGAGAGTATTGACCAATGCAAGAGAGCAGTGAGAAAGGTGGCCATTGTTTAAGGTAGAAATATCCAAAATATGAGTACTAATAAAAGGCAGTTAGAGGTAAGATGTGAAGATGGGTGTCCTTGGAGATTATATGCAAGTGCAGTTACAAGAGATGGTACTGTTGCTGTAAAACAACTCCAAGGGGAACACAAATGCCACAGAAATGTCCACACAAAGCAAGTAACAGCTGGCTTATTGCTGAAGAGTTTCTGAAAAAGTTTAGAAAAAATCCTAACATGACAATTGCTCAATTGGTAGATGTAATTTCTGACAAAATGCCATTGAACCTAGCAAATGGAAGCTTTACAGAGCAAAGTGGACAGCAATGGAGATGCTTAGAGGTTCTGTGTCGGAGATTATGCTACTTTGAGGAGTTACATGTTGGAGTTGCAGAGGGTTGACAGAGAAGGGAAGTTTGAGTTTCTTTTGGGTGATCATTCTACATTTAGGGCCTTCTATGTAGGGTTTAGTGCACTGAAAAAAGGTTTTTTGACAGGGTGTAGGCCAATTTTGGGTCTTGATGGCTGCTTCTTAAAAACATTCCTTGGAGGAGCATTATTATGTGCCACAACAAATGATGGCAATAATCAAATTTATCCCGTGGCTTGGGCTGTTATAGAAACTGAAAATGAGGAATGTTGGAGGTGGTTCCTGATGATTTTGTTTTCAGAGCTGGGGATAAGAGATGGTTTGGGATACCAGCAGAAAGTAAGCTATTCTCGTTGTATAATGTTTTCTTCTGTTTTCTATATGGAAATTAAATTTAAACTTAATTAGTTGCCATTGTTACAGGGCCTTTTAAATGCATTGAGTGATTTGGTACCTCATGCTGAGCATAGGAATTGTGCTCGGCATGTGTATATGAACTGGAAGAAAAGCTTCAAGGGTGAAGGTTTGAAGTTTATTTTTTGGAGGATTGTGCTTAGCACTCATATGGGTGACTACAACATTGCACTGGGAGATTTGAAGGCTGAAGATCCAAATGCCTATGAGGACTTCATTAAAAGAGATCCATCTAAATTCTGTAAGGCTTTTGTTTCTCCCTTACCTAGGTGTGACATGATAGAGAACAATGTCAGTGAGACATTTAATGGCTTCATTTTCAAAGGTAGAGGGCAACATATTATTGAAATGCTTGAATTTGTGAGGAGTGAGTTGATGAAAAGACAACATGGGAAACTTATGGAGTTTAGTGGTGTTACTGACAAAATTTGTCCTCGAATAAGAACAAAGCTAGAGCAGAACAAATACAAGTCCAGAATTTGTGTCACAAAGCCTGCAGTTGGAGACAGATTTCAGGTTGCCTATGAAGATGATCAATTTGTGGTTGACTTGAGAAGTAACACATGTACTTGTAGACAATGGGACATAACTGGAGTACCATGTGTACATGCTTGCTCAGCCATACATTTTCAGCACAAGGAGCCAGCAGACTTTGTTTCTGAATACTACTCAGTTGAGAGGTACTTGATGATGTACAACAACTCTTTGGAGCCACTCAATGGAAAGAAGTTGTGGCCAGTGGCAGAAGGCTACCCAATCAAACCACCTCCTTTCAAGAAAATGCCAGGTAGACCTAAGAAAAAGAGAAGAAGAGCTCCAGAGGAAGAGTTGAGATGTGGAACTAAGTTGAGAAGGTTTGGTTTAACTATGACTTGTCAAAGGTGTTTCCAGAAGGGACATAACAAGAAGTCTTGTACTAATCCCCAAGTTGAAAAACCTCCTAAGGTATTATAACTGATTATGCTATAATTGATTTTCAACTGATTATGCTATAACTGATTTCAATTACAATTATTGATAGAATCCAAGAGGGAGGCCAAAGAAAAACCCAGGACAACAATCAACCCAAGAGGAAGTTGTTGAAGCTGGGAGTCAGAATGTTGCTGCAGCTACTCAGACTCAGAGGAGAAACAAACTACCTGTTAGGAGAGAGATGCCCACACAAGATGCCTCTTTGATACAAAAAGAACGAGCCTTGGTAAATCATATACAAACTTGTTTATGTGACAAGTCTTGTTTCTTTTTTTTCTTTTTATTCAATTAACTTGTACTCATGTACTTGGTTTGGTTATATTCAGGCTAGGAAAGGATATGGTATTTTACAGTCTGAGGAAACAGGGAATACTTATATGAGGGTATGTTTTACATAGTTATTGTCTTGTTCATATTATTGATAAATTAGTTGCAGTTGTGACTATTGCAGCTGTCTTTCTCTTATGTGAATACTTATGTGATGGTATTTTGTCATTTCTTTAATTTTCTTCTGTATGTGACTCTTGCAGTTGTCTTCTGAAAGAAGGGTGCATCTCATTCCTAGAAAGGATGCAAGTGGGTCAAGAAGCAAAGCAAGTGGATCAGGAGCAAGTGGATCACGAAGCCAATGTACTAGGAAAAGCAAAAGAGTTGAAAGTAGGAGTCCAAGAAGGAGTTCAAGACTGAGAGCAAGTGAAAAAGTTTTGGGCACTCAAGAAAGTTCTGCACACAAAAGATGATTGATTAGGCTATTTGAACAAGTCTATGTATTTGGATAAGAATGTGTGATGGTGATTCTGTGTGTTTTGTCTTTTTGGTTTTGAAGATGGTTTAAGAACAGTACTGTGACCATGTTTTGGGGATTTTGTTGTTTGAAATGATGCCAAACATTGTTCAGCTTGCCAAACACACATGCTATGAAACAACAATTGGTCTTTTGACAAAATGAGGCTGTGCATTTGTTAATTTTTTTTTTCTGCTGCTGGTTGTGTTGTGTTGTGTTATGATCAACAAAATGAGGGTTATGGAATGACTGAATCATGTGGCATTGCCTCTCTTGGAGTATCTACTTATTGCAATTTTTGGTTGTTCAATTTAGGTGGATCTGAAAGTTATAAAAGCATTCAACAAAAAATAACAAACTTACTAATTCAAACTAATCAGTGAAAGTTCTGCCCAAACATTATAATATTACACATAATCCATTAGTTCAACCAAAAATTACTCAAAGCATACTGCTTACATTACACATAATCCATGAAATCAAGCTAAAATTGTTCAAAACCTACTGCAAAAACAAATTACATTACACCTTAATTTCAGCATTTCATCATAGGATTACAACTTCATTTCAACATCTTCATTCTCTGTCCCTTTCCATCCTCACCAAACCAACCCATAACAACAAGAAGAGCAGCTACAACCAAGCAAAAAATGAGAACATTCATCTTCTTTTCTAAGTTTTGCACATGAGTATCTACTGTGCTCTTAAGGGTCAACATAATTTCTGCATTTTTTTGAGCTACATCACCAAGCTCATTCACCCTGCTCTGAAGCTCCTCTACCATGTCAAAGTTTTCATCTTTCACTCCTATATGCATTTTCTCCATGCCCAGCTTGCACCTTAGCTGTTTCTCTAAATCCTCTTTCTCTGCCTTCATTCTTAAATAACATGACTTCAGGAACTCGGGCATGGGCGGATCAATTCATTCAAATAAACCAAAATCTAGTATCTGCTACAAGATAAGTGTGACCTACAGCTCGAACAAAAGAAAAAAAAAAAACAAAAACTGAAATACTCCATCAACACCACGTATTTACCTTTCTATTTGGACACCGGTAGAACCTTCTACATGGATTATCGATCGTCTTCGATGTCAGGATGTCTGCCTCACCATGACGGCATCCCATTCGGCCGTGAAGGTTCAAACTGCCATTACTCTGAGAACTCTAGCTTCTGTTGGAAGAGAACGACATTTTTAGAGGTATGGGGACAAGCAACTCAAGTAGGTTTGCAATTGGGAAGGAGAAGCTCGGCAATTGAGAGAGGAGCTCGAAATTGGGGCGATACGAAGTTTAATGTGGGCGATTTAGACGATTAGGGTTCTAATAGGGAAGAATCGAATTAGATGCGTTTTTTTTTTAGTGTGTGTGACACTGTGGAATCCTCGCAGCGAAGCCTGATGACACGTGAGACGGCCNTTATCTCCGTTCGTCCCTGCTTCCTTGAAGCCTTTTCCTTTGTCCGAGTTCGGCCGGAACTAGTACTGTTCGACCTACCTTTCCAATATCAGTGGTCCTTAGGCCTAAGCCTTAGAGAAAGAGAGAGAGAGATTGGATACAAGTTCCATTATTTAATGCATTTGCTAGGCATCCACATAGTTCAGGTTCTTCAGAAAGTCTTTGGATTAGCCTCTAGTGAATGTGAAATAAATATCTAGTCATATAATGAGGTGCTCGTTGTAGTGGGAGTGTAGCAAAATGACTGACTTGATTCGTGGTTAATGAAAGAGTCTTTGGACTCAGTCTCTGGTAAGCACGAAACTATGAATTCATGTTGTTGAAATAAGTCCTTGGACTTAGTCTCTGGTGAATACGAAATAAATCCCTTTTTATACATTGAGAAGCTCCAAGACGGAGATGCAGGAACTTAGCGAACTACAATGATTTCTGATTTAGAGTCTTGGACTCTAATCCCATCTGAGATCTTGTAGAATCACCAAGTGGCGTAGAGGCCATTGGGCGTAATGGATCTTCAAGTAAAATCGTGTAGACTCTAAAGTAGGGCTTGTAGTGAAATAGTAGATTCAGAAAAAAAAAATTAGATCTATTATAAGTTAACTTTCTCACTGATAGCCATACTTAAGTCTGTATGGATGTTTTAATTTGTGGCCACTCATATGAGCTATGATTTTGGCATAGTGGATGTCAAGATGAGGTCTTGTAGGAATATCCATGGAGCAGCACTCAGAAAGGTTCATTGTAGATTGCTAAGAGCATCTAGTCTATAAACTGAAACAGTCCACTTGTGGACTGAAGTATGTTTTGTAATCTGGCACATTTGGTTGATGCATCAAATTTGGATTTGATCAAGTCACCAAATGAGCATTGTGTGTATTGTTGTGACCATTTTTGTTACGTTTTTCTGTACTATTTTGTCGTTCCTTTTCCCCCGTTTTAGTTCTTTTTGTTAGTTTTTAGTTCATTTTATAGTTTATTGTGTGTTTTGTTCTATTTTGGCTTTTTATGTGTTTTTC